CCGAAGAGACTAGCGTATTATTGGTATAGAAGTTATTCCCACCTTAAGCTAGCACCTTAACCAACTCGGTCATCTCGCTTCTGTTCAACTTGAGATCTTTTCCTATTTAATATTCAAATTCTTTTACCATTGCGAGCCTTGCTGGTGTGATGTGAAAAGGAAAATTAGCTTTTGATTTTATAATAAACATGGCTGGATGCGTTTAAATAGTTTTAAATATATGTGATCGGACAGGAGAGTAGAAGGACCTCTTGTATACCAAATCGAGTCCGGTCATGTGCTGCATTTTATATATAATTTACGATCATACGGACGAACGCGTCTACGCAATGTGTGAAAAGTTATTATTATTATTAAGCATTCCAAATATATCTCGCGGTGGGCTAAGGAGACTTCGACAGGGTTCTGATGAATTCGACGAGTCAGATTTTCTGGATTCAGACTTATCAACAGTTGATGCTCAGTTGGTACGTATCCCTATTCAATTTCCCACTTCATTCAAATATGAACTAAGTAGTAGACATATGCTATTAAGCGGCAGTCTAATACAGGCGCTACTGACTTCGGATCGCAGTAGGAAATTCAAATACAACGGATGTTTTAGAAATAGTTCCGGTGACGGAGATGGCATACTGAGGTTGACGCGTGCATTGCAGGATGAAGTGTTTATCGTTATAAACAAATTCGAGATCATGGTTGAAGTTGCGTAGGATCAAGCAATTAAGTAGCGTATGAGATGTGAGGCGCTACATACACCCTGCCTCTCAAATATCGCCGACTATCGTTCAGTTCAACCAGTATACGCGAATTTAGACCTTACCTATATTACGAGTTTGTCTTTTTGGTACGTTACATTGAACGTTGTCATCCCAATACACACAAAAAAAACCAGTATGACGATCGTCAGTTCACATGTCTTTTCGATTGTGCGTTGATGCAACTTCACTAGTACCAAGTACTGCTGTTCGTCTAGGAGAAGCGACAGGTTTAGGCTAATCGAATTGGACCTAGGTGTTGATGATCAATGACATGCAATACCAATTTGACCCCAGAATCGAATCAAATCATTTTCTTTTGTTAGATTCCGTTCATACGTTAACCGGCTGCCAGGAACATGTGCGCATGGTTAATGGAATCGTATTATGAGTGCTATCGACAATGTTATCAGACAAACATACGTTGCTGTATTGTGTATAGTTTCTCAATCTATGCGAGAAAGGGTATGAACAGGCGGAATCTTGCCTCTCAGTGTCAGAGCTGCAAACTTGAAGCAAACATGACGGCAAGGCCACAAAATAGAATTCAGCTTGTACTGGACTTGCAAATGTCGACTGATCGAAAATACTATCCATCCTTAGATGGAAAGGCCTCGACGACATGCCCATATAATTTCAAATAAGATAGTAGTTGTGTGAAATAAGGTGCTAGGAATGGGCAGCATCGCTGGCCCCAAATTGACTTTTGGACAAATCACAGTTTATCATTGGTAATGCACTATTGTCGGGTGTTGGTGTTCTGGTGAGGGAAAGGATATGCAACGTACAGCGGGCGGCTGAAATTCATTGTTCCATTGGTGCGTAATGTTGCGATAATAATAGATCAATTATAGTTTAGGATAGTATATAATATACAAAATTGCATACTATGTGAGTCTTTGAATTACAAATATATTTTAACTTCAAGGATCCCATGTGAGATATGTTCCCCTCAAGTAAATGCGCCTATATAATTCAATATACCTACATCATTATTCCGCGATATAGATGATTACCGAGTCTGAGATGGACACGGTGCATTCGAAGTCTACCCCTATTGAACTATAATAAGTTGCGAAAACATGGGAGAAAAAAACCCCCCCCTATATTCGGTTGATCAGGCGATCAGTCAGAACCAAACGCTCGACCACATTTTATATATCTTTAATAGGTAAAGTACAGATAGAGTTTGTCCGATTCAGCGTTAAATACACCTGACTTGCCTTGCTCACGGTCTCTGAATGTCAAACGGTATCGTACACTATAAAAATTGTTAAGCTTCGCCCGGAAAATGCGGTGAGGGACTAGTTTGGCTTCCGATGCGGCGATGTGTGCCAATTGTAGAGCATAGGTGATTTCTAATGAGTGTTCTCTCTATAAAACCTTGCAACTGCCATACAGTAGATGTGCTGCGACACGATACTTCTCACTGCGTGCAATGTTGTTACTTCGCTTCCGTATCCTGGTGGTAACAATGCAAGCAGCGTAATTCAAAGGCGAACGTACCCGCATCCCCACGTTACCTCTTTTCATACTCATACAAAGCCCTGTAGAACTCCGTCTGGAAACAGAAGGCACGAACATTTGTGGAATGAGTATAAACACACGAGAACAGCGACCCAAGGCCGAACTCGTAGATAAAATGTGGTGCGAGGAATCGTATATGTTTCGTCCCAAACTGCGAGGGCTCCCGATTGCTATGCCGAGGTTTGCATAGCGAATGAATAGGAGTTCTCTTAATTTATTTATTTACAAAAGGGAAAGAGGAAGTATATGCACAGTGTTTGGTATTCAGCTTCTAAGTAATATAGCATCACACTATGCAAATCAGATGAGCTTGATACAAAATACACTTCATAGCGATCGCAACAGGAAGGAGATGTAACGGCACGTGAGTACACGAACACATTTTTTTTTGAGTATTCAACGATACAATTCACCACAACTCGGGTGAGGATTTCGCACTGCAAAATAATCTGCACGCAGTCACCTTTGTCCTCATACTCGAAAGATGCTGTACACATGGAGCTGACACGATCACACACGAGTTGGCATTCATACATCCGTCTAGGTACACACGCACACGCACACAAATATACGCATATACACAGACAGAAGCATACAGACACGCACACATAGTGAGAGAGAGAGAGAGAGACACACACACACACGCGTTCGCACCCAAACAGCACGCTGTACACGTACATACCTGCAGCTTTCCTGCGTATTCATAAACAAACGAGTCTTCTTGGTTAAAAGTCTGGGCGTTGCTGACCATCAATTTCACATCCACTTCCATATCCTCGATAGTCTCGTACTCGGTATTGTCAATTTTCTCCTACGTTATCATAACAAAATAGTTGGATTGGAAGATCACTTAATAACACACAGTCAACAAGTATGCAGCAAGCAAACACGAACAGAAGTGAATCACTCGATGGAAGTTTATTTCACACGAATCCACTTGGATAAACTTCCTTTCCATGAAATACATTCTATTACTAGAGTTACAACCAGTGTGTGACATTCTATTACTAGAGTTACAACCAGTGTGTGACATTCTACTACTAGAGTTACAACCAGTGTATGACATTCTTTTACTAGAGTTACAACCAGTGTATGCAAGTAAACTTCCTTTCCATGAAATACATTCTATTACTACAGTTACAACCAGTGTATGCATGAAAACTTCCTTTCCATGAAATACATTCTATTACCAGAGTTACAACCAGTGTATGCAAGTAAATTTCGTAAATCCACATTCTAACATCAGGAATACCACCCAGCGCGGATGGAAACCGACCAATACGTATAGTGATACATATTCATGTTTTTCCGAATACATATAAAAGCTATCGAAACATACCAGTATGTTCGAGAGTGCAATGGGGTACTCGATGATTTTGTAGTCGGGATAGTCCAGGAGGTTCGGTACCTCCATGAATAGCTCACAGACCATCTCGTCGGTTTCAGGGCTGTGTTGTAGTGAGGAAAGAGCCAAGCATAGAAGGGTGATTAGCGTGAGGAGATATTCAATAGGGGGTTATTTAGGTACAAAGCCAGATTTTAGGTATAAAGAGAGATAGCCAGACCTGTAAGTGTAAATAGCTAGGGGTTTAGTAAATTCCACTACACTCCACAGACACGCTCACATACTAAGAAGCGTTTTTTAAGTCATGCGCGGATGTGTAGCATCTTGCGTGTGTGATTCTCCAAGGACGCTCCCACGCACTCTCGCTTAGGGTGGTGAATGAAAATAGCCATGCATATAAACGCCATCTTCGCATACAGATAAATACATTTCTCCACAAATACTTTCACAAACACTGGCAGGGTTGTGAACACAGGGCAGCAGTACATATACGCACTATCTTCGCAACAGCGGTAAACACTGAGATACTCTTATGACATGGCCTACTCTTATGACATGGTCCATGCAGTGTAGCAGTGCATGTACACACCACTTTTACATAACGGGAATAGTGACTATCCACAAATACGCTCACATACAAAAACCGGGTGCTCAATTCGATACAACCGTGCAGAAACGGGTTATCTTAGCGTACTGAGCTGAAGAATTGCTTACCTATACACTCACATACTCTAGCAGGGTCAACACAGTGTAGCAGTGCATGTCGCTACAGAATTACTCACTAGTACACTCACATACTCTAGCAGGGTGGTCAATGCAGTGTAGAAGTGCATGTCGATACAGAACTACTCACTAATACACTCACATACTCTAGCAGGGTGGTCAATGCAGTGTAGCAGTGCATGTCGCTACAGAATTACTCACTAATACACTCACATACTCTAGCAGGGTGGTCAATGCAGTGTAGCAGTGCATGTCGCTACAGAATTGCTCACTAATACACTCACATACTCTAGCAGGTTGGTCAACACAGTGTAGTAGTGCATATCGCTACAAAATTGCTCACTAATACACTCACATACTCTAGCAGGGTGGTCAATGCTGTGTAGCAGTGCATGTACACGCTGTCCTCGCGCACAGGGGTGGGGCTGACGATGCGAGACCGTCGCTTGGGCGATGGAGATAGGTGCCTATCTTTCTTAAGCTTCTTAGAGCTCACTCTGGCTTTCTTGACGCGAGGTGGTTCTTCGACTGCGGTCGTAGGTGTAGGTGTAGGTGTTAGTACAGGTAGAGCTCAGGTGGGTGAGTATAGCGTAGGTATACATAGACGGTATCAGCCCCTCAGATGTACACACCGTAGATAAGCGCGTTCGGAATAGTGCAGATGAGTATGCAAAGTGTGGGAAGAGAACTAGATGTGTTACTAACGGCTCACGCAGATATACTGCAGTCGCTCAGAAATCCATATGCATACCCGCATTTTCCAGCATTAACTGGGATCGGCTTCTTCATGAGTGGCAAATCCACTCTTTTAAAACCGAGCTAGGACAGGCACAAGTAGTAGGAATGTCTTTCATTTCACAACCAATACATACACGTCACGCTCACGGAACGCACATACATAACCTCGATACACTTATGAGTATTATTCAACTTGAAGTAAAACAGGCTACCGATACCGTTTTATGTGAAAGCAGAAATCGTAAAATCGTACGACAACGGACTGAGTTACTTGTATTCAAGTAAAGCCTGATGCACCTATGCAAACGAGGTTTTATCTGGATACATTTACAACTATATCTGGACAGGCGCGTCGAGAAATATTCGAACATGTTCAAAACAACACACGGGACGAACATATGGTGAATACACATAGTCATAGATGGAATATATATATATATATATATATATATATATATATATATANACAATATACACACANANATANANACTANACTANATATA